GTTTGATCCCAAGTACTGTGTATAGTCCCTCAGGCACCACTAAGCGTAATCCTTGAGCACAGAACAAGGAGTAAGTGTGAGCACTACCAGGGATAACCCAAAAACATGTGTGTATTGGGGGGGTGTAGGTTGGTGTGAAATTTTTTAAAGACAATAGTTGAGCTGTAGAACACACTAGAGGGAAGGGGTGGTGGCTATAGCTGAAAGGGCTAGAGCACTTGCCTGGCATCATAATGCCCCAGCTCAGTCCCTACACCACACAGCCCCATGAGCACCACTAGATTTGTCTTTGTGCCTGACCCCCAGAGGGCCTTACCAGCAGGTGGAAGTAAGCAGTTGGCAAATAGGCAACACTGCAGAACCCCCAACAGGAAAGCAAAGTAAAACAAGAGTGGTAAACCGTGAAGAGAATTTATAGGTTAAAGGGATCACATGAAGAGACACAATATTCACATGATTGGAATCGCCAAAGGATAAAGCAAAGAGAAAAGGGGTAGAGACCTGATCTGACAAAATAGTAACTGAACCCTCCCTGATTTGGAGAAGGAACGAAACACCCAACTACGCAAAGCACAAAGAGTCCCAAACAAAACAGATCCAAACAGACACGAAGACATATAACTAGTTGTTAAAAACGAAAGGTCAAACCAGAAAAGTAGCATCCAAGGGAAGAAGCAGTTCACATAGGGACCCTAAGCAAAATACTTGCAGGCCTCTCTATGGAAACTATGGGAGATGGAAGGGGATGGCACACAATATTAAAAACTTTAGAAATAAAAACATTTTCATCCAATAATACTTCATCCTGAGCTGGAGCGATAGCACAGTGGGTAGGGTGTTTGCCTTACACGTGGCCGAGTCGGGTTCGATTCCCAGCATCCCATATGGTTCCCTGAGCACTGCCAGGGGTAATTTCTGAATGCAAAGCCAGGAGTAACCCTGAGCATCGCCGGGTGTGACCCAAAAAGGAAAAAAAAATACTCCATCCTGAGAGATTATTATTTATCATAGAATGGTGGATAAAGAGCTTTACATCTGAAAAAAAGAAAAGCTGCATTGGTCACCACCAAAGCAGCTTTCAAAGAAATGTTAAAGAATTAAAATAAAAATGTGAAAGGTTAAAATAAAAATCAGTAAAGTATTAATAAGACACCAAAATTATTGACCTTTTGTTGGAGTACACGGAACTTAGGTTTATCAGGTTGCACCCATCACAGTGCTCCTGAGTCACTCCCATTACTTTGTCTGTCTGTAACCACTTCTATGCTCTTTTCCCCAACCACTTTGTAAGGTCTCATCCTTCTAGGACACTGAACTAGTACTGTAAGTTAATATTGCCTTTCTCCTCTCCTTATGTCTTTTGAATAGTTTGCTTTAACGCAATGTCCTTTTTGTATGGACACAGTAAGAAATACTTTGAGCTTATAGAATTGCTCTCCTAGGGCCACCTCGATCTCAGACTGCAGTGCTCAGGCCAGATATCTTTCCTATTCCTAGCAGCAGGGTCCTAGTCTCGTCGTTACTTTTGGATCATGACAGCATTTGCCTGTGATCAAACTCTTAACTTACAGTTAAGAATCGTGGCACCTTGGCCTGGCCCATCTCGATGCCAGGGTAGCACATAACTTACCGGCTTGCCCTGGTTCCATCCAGTCCCACGTCGGGACCCTGTCCTTGGGGTGCTAGGAAGTGAGGGCAACTGAGGCTTAAGTTGAGAAAGCAGATGCCCAGGAGTGAATAATATTCAAAGCCAATCAACTCCTAAGTTACAAGGCATAATATTAATTAATTGTCTTCCTGTATCTATACAAAAAAGGACATTGCATTAAAGCAAACTATTCAAAAGACTTAAGGAGAGGAGAAAGGCAATATTAACTTACAGTACAAGTTCAGTGTCCTAGAAGGATGAGACCTTACAAATTGGTTGGGGAAAAGAGCATAGAAGTGGTTACAGACAGACAAAGTAATGGGAGTGACTCGGGAGCACTGTGATGGGTGCAACCTGATAAACCTAAGTTCCGTGTACTCCAACAACCTTTAATCCCTAAAACATTCATACTAATACAATTATAAGTTGTGGTGTGTAGATTGAAAATGTAATAGAGCAATAAATGGGCGGCTGTCTTTCCACTTAATTTTGTTGTCAAAGTAAATTCCCTAACCACAAAATGTCTAGTTGGAAAAGAAATATGCATAGTTCACATTTTATTATTTATAAAATAGAGACTTTTAAACCATTGATTTTTCAACCATTGAATGTTTTCTGAACGATAGGCACTGAAGTACCCACAGGAATGAGTAGGTGTGTAACTTTCCATAGAGGAAAGGGGAAACAAAATTCATTGGTTAGTCTCTTTTATTCATTTTTTCACCCTCCCAACAACCCAGTGAGGTAAGTGCTATGCTGTGTTATTTGTGGATAAAGAAATGAATTTATCTGGAAAGAAAGATAGTATACGGATAATTCACTTGCCTTGCATGTGGCGGACCCTGGTTTGGTTCTTGGCAACTGCTTATGGTGCCCTGAGCACTGGGCACCATAAGCAGAGCACAGAGACAGGCATTGCCTCTGAGTATTCCAGATGTGGTCTCAAATAACAGCCCCCCAAAATGGGGGATGTTATAAAGACACATTTTTAACAAATGGTGATCCCAGAGTTTATTCCAGAACCTCGATACTTCCTTCCACACTATACTTTCTCCCCAAAGTAAGTTCACACCATAGTGTGAGGACCATCATATGGTATTTTGTTAAGGAAACTCGGGTATCAAAACTTGAGTTAACAGCAAATTGTTCCTTTGGGAAAAGAGAAATCAGAGTTTTAGTTCTTGACTTCAGCTTACTTATCTTGGAAAAAAATTCTATAATAGTAGTGATAGCACAGCGGGTAGGGTGTTTGCTTTGCACATGGCCATTTAGGGTTCGATTCCCAGCGTCCCATATGGTCCCCCAGCACCACCAGGAGTAATTCCTGAGTGCAGAGCCAGGAGTAACCCTTGATCATTGCCGGGTGTGACCCAAAAAGCAAAAACAAAAAACAAAAAACAAAAAAAAATTCCCATAATAGAGGAACTTTGGCTACAGGAGTGTGTAATTGGAGGCTGAAAATAATAAAAAGATTAACAAGATAAATGAAGATTACCAAACTAAAAAGGCCTAAATTGCATCTAAGACCTAAGTCAATGAGTTTCTAAATGATCATTACCATAACTCACTGTTATGAGCAACAGAGCACCACACTGAACCAAGATGACGGCAGTCAAAATAAAGTGTAATTCAGTTCCCAGTGCCAGCAGAGAACAAAAGAACCCAAACTCAGAAGCTGCCAATTCCTCCTCTGTGTACACTGCTTTCCCCCTAGGAACCTGATCCTAATTTCTGATTCTGCTTGAATTACAACCAGTAATTCATGACATGAACTGTGTTTCTGAAGTGATGTCCATGATATGAACCGCGTCCCCTGAGGAAGTCACTGTATTGCTGTATCCTAGTTGCTGTATGAAGGTTCCAGCCCTAAGAAGGAAGCCAAAAATAGGGAAATGAACTTTAAGACATGCAACAGACTTAGATTTCACCAAGATAGTGAATATTACCGGCATGTCAGAGGGTCCCAGAGAAGCCTCGGAGATACCTGTGTCCCTAGACCCTAAAACAGTTCTGGGAATCACCAGGCCATCGCCCAGTGCTGAAAATCCTGGCTACTTGCACAGTTTGCATCCACGTGTGAGCAGAAACTCTATCAACAATTTGCTCCCCTTCATAGTGGCAGGATCAGATGAGGAAGTGGTCAAACAGATCCCTGATCAAATCCCAGAAAGAACGTGAGTGTGTGTGTGTGTGTGTGTGTGTGTGTGTGTGTGTGTGTGTGTGTGTGTGTAGGAGGTTGGTAGGCAGTGGTGGCTGGCTGGAACAGCTCGGGGTCTAATCCTAATGTGGCTTGATCCACTCTTAATTTCTGAATTCTTATAGCTTCCTGCCATTTGCAGTGATTTTAAAACAACTCTGGAACTGAAGCCATCTTCTTACTTTCACAGATGAATACAGTAGAGATGAATTTGTGTCTTCGGAGAAAGCATCAGAGAAACTCAAACCCTCAGCCTTCTGACTCCACGCTGCATGGGCTTTCCAAGACCCCCAAAGATTCTTCTGCAGGGGCAATGGACTTGGTGGGCAGTGAGGGCCCACCTGCCTTTGCTGGTCCTGGAGAGATCATTTGCTAACCCATAAGACCCCAGCAAATCCTTGAACTTCAGGAAGGCACACCCGGTTGAATATCACACAAAATGTGGGAGGATTTGGGGCAGGTGTGCATGCATGCAGGCACCTGGTCTCCTCCTCTGGAGCTTCCCAAAGCATGAAGCACTGTTTGGTACCCAAAATCCAGACCTAGAGCCAGACTGCAGCCATGACAGGCCACAGTGAACATTAAGTTTTGACTAGGCCTCAGTTTCTGTATTCCAGAAACTGAACTTGCCATTTTTGGTAAACTCCCAGTTGAGTTACCTGCCCAAGAAAGGAACCGCTAGATCATCTGAGGGGTCATGAGGGATCACTATGTTCATTTTTTTTTTTGGAACAACCACAAACTATTACTATGTCCATTTTTTGTTATCTGACTGTTACCAAATGTTGACGAATCGCTGACCACTGTTGCTTGGTCACTGCTATCATATTGCTTGCTCAGCCTTGGAACCTACATAAACTGCTTGCACTTGGAGGTCGGGGTCGCTGTCGAGCAACCACGTTGCAGGTGAGATAGTTGACCCCAATTAGCTAGAGTAAAACTCCTGTGCACTTGCATTACTGTCTCTCTGACTCTGTCTGTTCACGTCGTGACCCAGGTACAACAGTGCCAGCTGCCAGGCAGCACTGTCTCGTCTAAAGCAAGCAGGGGACAGGCTGGGAGGGAAGCCCGCCTGCAGCGGAGGCCGAAGGGAGGTGTTGACTGATCCAGATTGTGCCTGTCTGTCCTTCCTCCCACCTCGGGCCCTCCACCCACCTGGAAAGCCATGGAGTTGGCAGCAGCCAGAAATATCCTCAGAGGCAGCTTGGCCTTGTAGGACCGGTGGCTCCATAAGCGGTGGGCACCGGCCGTCACGCCCAACGCCGTCACCAGGAAACAGAAGGAGGCTGTAAGACACAAGCAGAAGAGCGTCAGCACAGGGCACTGAGCTTTGGGCCAGCCGCCAGCCCCAGCCGTGGCTATTTCCTCCCCCCAGGGTGACAGGGCCAAAGTCTGCCGGAGAGATGGCACCTCTTAGGGACAAGTACTTGACACTGGTGCGTAGGCCTCCAGGCGCGAGAAGAGGAGAGAGAGAAGCCACGTGGGATTCTTTCTCAAGAGACCAAGACGTGGGCTGGAGCAATAGCACAGCGGGTAGGGCGTTTGCCTTGCATGCAGCCGACCCAGGTTTGATCCCCAGCATCCCTTATGGTTCCCAGGAGTGATTTCTGAGTACAGAGCCAGGAATAACCCCTGAGCATCGCTGGATGTGACCCAAAAAGCTAAATTAAATTAAATTAAAAAAGAAAGAAAGAAACCAAGAGTATAATTTGCTTTGTGTCAAACATATATTTTATTTACTGAGGGTCAGAGAGCTAGAACAGAGGGAAGGGCATTTGCCTGCCACGTGGTGGACCCCGGTTCTATCCCCAGCATTACATATGTTCCCCCGAAACCCATCAGAAGGGATGCCTGAGCACAGAGCCAGGAGTAAGCCCTGAGCACCACTGGGTGTGGGCCCCCCAAGGGAAATGCTTTCTTTAGGCTACCAATCTTAAAAAAAATATTAGCACATGAAGCTCAACTTGTAATAACATGTCAGTGATCTCTGACCTTACTGGCTTACTGGCTCCAGGGTGAGATACAGTGATCTTCACATACTTTCTTCTGAGGAAACCTTTTTTGATCATTTTCTAGCAAATTATTCATAACAAGCAACACAACATAAGATATTTAGCACCTGCTACTGGGGCAGGATTGGGTGGTGGTTGAGGAATTGGAAATAAGGGTGGTGGGAAAGTGAAATGGTGGTGGGTTTGGTGTTGGAATGTTGAACGTTATGAATTATCATGGGCAACTCTCTAAAAAATTAATAAATTTAAAAGAAAAGCAGAAAGAAAGGCTCTCTTTACTGTTTCTTGCCTCTCTAGATGCCGGCGCCCATGTTAGCCTGTGAAGCTGAGTCCGAGGCCCCACTAAGGACCCCCACTGAGGGGCAAGTGCCTCGTTGTCCCTTTCTTTACGCCCATGCTAGTGTCCTAGGGTGAGTCCATGCTCGCGGTCAGAGGGTGGTGTGAGGAAAATCAGGTCAGAGCCATAGACAATAAAGTCTGGCTCTGGGCCAGTGAGAACAAGGATCAAGCAGACCGCAGGGCAGCTCCGGAGAGTCAGAGAGCCTCGCTGTAGCCTCACCATGGGAGTCAGAAGTGGCCAGCGGGGAAAGGTTTATAAAGTCCCCATGGCATGTCCTCCTCTCCCAGAATGGAGCATAACATGACACACGCCATAATCATGCCACCGGACCCTGCGCCAGACTGTTTCACTCGGGGTGCTCCAGACGGGGCTAGGTGAGGCCCCTCCCCGGCCCAAGGAACCCAGCCTCGGCAGCTGAAAACCTCCAGAACACAACCGCAGCCCTGCTCACGGTCACTCTCCACTCAGGTCAAGCCTCACCCATGCATGAACCTATCCCTGCACATCTCATATCTCACACCACTCATATTCCAAGAGTAGTGCACCACGTTTGATGGTGTTTAAAGTAGTAGGCAACCAACCTCAGAGGAAAAAATATATATGTATATATATATTTACATATATATATATATACACAAAAGCACACAAGGCTCAACTTTAACAACAGGTTAATGATCTCTTATAGAAGGTCTTAATGGCCCTTGTCGAAATACAACAATCTTCACACTCTTTCCTCTAAGGATATGTCTTTGTAGCATCTTCAGCGGTTTGTCATAACAAGCAATACAAAATGCATTATTTTGGTTCTGCTTTGGAACGGGATTGGGGTTCAGAATGGAAACATCCAAAATATGGTGATAGGAAGGTGTAATGTTGGTGGGAAGGTGTAATGGTGGTGGGATTGGTGTTTGAATATTAAATGTAATCAAATATTGTGAACTACCTTATAAGATTAAAAAATTAATAATAATAAAAAATAAAGTCCACCCCTCCAAAAAAATAAACGTACAGTGGCACTATCAGCCACTCATTCAAGTGTAATCTCAAATGCTCACAATGTCTTAAAATCATAATTATTACAACTGAGGAAAACAGTCTCTGAGAGAGAGTTCTGCACCAAAACCTGCATCAGGGGAGCTGGAGCGAGAGACCAAGGACTGAGCACACGGAGGAGGCCCAGTTTGATCGTTGGCACTGTGAGGACCCCAAGCACAGAGCCAGGAGTAGCCCCAGCACTCCTGGGGCGGCTCCCAAAATAAACCCATTAAATCAAACTCCAAGTCAGTCTAGTTCCAAAGCGTCTGCGCAAAGATCCCACGCACCCCGGATGGTGGTGGTGGTTTGCTCCTCATGAGGACACTGGTGAGGGTAAGAGCCGCATGTAAAGAGACACCCACATTTCCTGGATGAGAACAACCACTCAAGTGGATTGAAGCCACGGGCACAGAGAAGTAATCAAGTGTGCTACTCATCTTATTAAAACAAATCCAGCAACCCTACTGGCTTTGTATTATTGTTATTGTTGTTTTCGTTATTGTTGTTGTTGTATTATTATTAGCCCAATTTTATAGATGAAGAAACAAGATCATGGAAAAAAGAAACTCAGACTAAAAAGGAACCCTAAAATAAAATTATTTGCGTGCAATATATCAGATCAAAGCTAATATCCAAGATCTATGAAGCACTCCCTAAGCTCAACAACAAAAATTGCAATAACTCCATCCAAAAATGGGGAGAGAAGATGAATAGATACGACCCAAAGAATATGTATATTTTATTATAGGCATCTGAAATATACATATTCAGATATAAGTATCTGAATATGTATATTTTCATCATCACATATTAACTGGGCTGGGGCGATAGCACAGCAGGTAGAGCATTTGCCTTGCATGCAACCAACATGGACGACCCGAGTTCGATTCCTCCGCCCCTCTCGGAGATCTCGGCAAGCTACTGAGAGTATCTCGCCCGCACGGCAGAGCCTGGCAAGCTCCCCGTGACGTATTCAATATGCCAAGCACAGTAACCACAAAGTCTCCAATGGAGACGTTTCTGGGCCCACTCGAGAAAATCGATGAGCAACGGAAGAACAGTGACAGTGACACATATTAACAGAGAAATGTAAATCAAAACAATGATTTAAGATATTATTATATGTCATTTCACACTAGCAAGAATAGCATAAAATTAAAAGTCTGGAAATGACCAGTGTTGTGGAGATGTGGTGAGAATCAGCTATTGGTGGGAATGTTTTTTGGTTCGGCCTTTATGGAAAGCAGTGTGAATATTTCTCAAAAAATGGAAAAATAAAGGGGATGGGATGGAAAAATGGAAAAATAAAGAGATAAAACAGTGGGTAGGGCTCTTGCCTTGCACAAAGCCAACCTGTGTTCAATCTCCAGCACCTCACATGGTGCCCTGAGCCCCATCAGGAGTGATCCCTGAAGAAAAAGCCAGATGAAATCCCTGAGCACCACCGAGTGTGACCCCAAAACAAAGCAAAACTAAAAAATACATAATAACAGAATTTTTATATGACCCAGAGATACCACTTCCTGGTATCAGTCCTCAAAACACAAAAACATTAATTTTTCAAGGACATATGCACACTTATGGTCATTAACCAGGATATGAAACCAACCCAAATGCCCAACTATGGATGAATGGATCAAGAAGTCATAGCATATTTACACAATGAAATACTATGCAGCTATAAAAAGGATGATAACATGGGGCTGGAGCAATAGCACAGCGGGTAGGGCATTTGTCTTGCACACAGCCGACTCAGGTTCAATTCCCAGCATCTCATATGGTCCCCCGAGAACTTTCAGGAGTTAATTCCTGAGTGCAGAGCCAGGAGTAACCCCTGTGCATCACCGGGTGTGACCCTAAAAGCAAAAAAATAGGAGGGGGGGGGCCAAAGAGATAGTACCACGAGTTGTACTATCCTGGATTCAATACCTGGCACCACATGTGGATCCCTGAGCCCTGCAGGAGTGATCCCTGAGTGCAAAGGCAGGAGTAAGCCCTGAGCCCTGCCAGGTGTGGCTCCAAAAATCACAGAGAGACAGAGAATAAAAATAAAAAGATAAAAATAAAATTAAAAAATAAAAAGAGATAGAGAATAAAAATCAATTCTTGAAGAAAAAAAAAAGTTCACCAACTGTCCCCTGTCAGCGTTTCCCAGAGAGCATTTCTGCAGAGTCAAACCCAAGTCCTGTGTGAACCAACGGTAAGGTTCCTGCCTTTCACAGCCTCCTTTGCCTCAGGGACAGAGCATCTGCTTCACTTCTCCAACCCCGCTGTCATCAGTGTCCATCCCAGCCTCAATCCCAGCCCAGCTGCCTTCTCACTTGGCAGGAGAACCCTAAACCTAAAGAGGTAGGATGATACGGATCTCAGCGACTCCTAGCGTTCTGCACACACTTGAGCTCCATAAAGAACTGCCAAAAAACCAGCCATCAGCCCCGAGCACACCATGAGCAACTGTGAATGGTCCAGGCCAGGAGAGACAATTCACTGGGTACCAATGTTATCCTAAAATGTTTAGAGCTATATTCCCATAAATAGAGGAATGGGGGGTGCCTCAGGAGCATTGTAATGTGGGTGTTACTCAGTAAACCTAAACTCTCCGTGGCAAGGGAGAAAGGATATACCAATGTTATCCTCCACCTCATTTGACAGGAGAACCCTAAACCTAAAGAGGTAGGATGATGCAGATCGCAGCGGCTTCCGGCATTCTGCAAACACATGAGCTCCATAAAGAACTTCGAAGACACAGCCAACAGCCCCAAGCACACCATGAGCGACTGTGAATGGTCCAGGCCAGGAGAAACAATTCACTGGGTTCTCAGGGAGACCCAGCAGTACTTCTCTGGAAGAATTATTAGAGTAACTTCAGAGTTAATATACAAAGCTAAAGGGAGCACCA